AGTATATTATATTTTCCTTTTACAGCTGCAGACTGAGGAAGATCCTGAAACACACCAGCAAACCCTAAAACAGACAACAGTTTACAGATGTTTTTCAGTGGCAGCAGAACTATGACTAAACTTTTGGGTGAAACTTGTTTACATTTTTCTTACTTTTATTACTTGTGGAAAAACTTGAAACAATTTTAAATAAGTATAAAGAATGGCATTGGTTTTGTACATTTAATTTTTGTTTAACGTTGTTAATAAAAATGTTGTTCAATTAGCATGTTTTTGTGTTTTGCTTTGGTACCGAAATTGGTACCGAGAACCGTGGATTTTCACTGGTATTGGTACAGAATACTGAAATTTTGGTACCGTGACAACACTACTTTCAAGTATTAACTAAAACCGCTGACTAAAGCGGTCATAAAAAAGTCACCGTCAAGTTTTTCTAAAGTATTTTGCCAGTCAACTCTCTCGCTCCCTTTCCCTCTGGCTTGGTGCGCCACAGTGGATTTACAGATAGGCTCGCAACCTAATTAGTTTCTAATTAGATTACACTGACATAAGGTGCGTATTGGAGGAATAGCACATTCTTAGAAACACTCAGAGTGAAGGGAATACTTTCACACTCCTACACATCTGGGAACAATTCCATGAAAATTAGAGAATTCTCAGCTGTATATGCAAACGCAACACAAGTGAAAAGAGGCAAGAGAGACACATGCACATGGGAAAACAAACAAACACCTAAGTAAAACAGTGTTGCATATAGTAAAACACAGAGCCCTGCATATACACTCAATCGTAATTGTGAAAAAAAAGTATGTTCACTGTTATATCTTGTTGCATATCTTCAGCTGATACTCACTGGTCCTCAATGATGTCTTCACATGAACAGGCGATGATGTACCCGGCAGAGGATGCCATAATGGCCTGAACGGAGGACACCAGTCTGTGAAAGGGTGAGAGAAAAAACATTCATGAAAGACAGCAAGGAGACCAAAACAGACTGCAAACACCCTTAGATAGGAGATATTTGAAACCATTAAAGGGGTCATATGATGCGATTTCAATTTTTCCTTTCTCTTTGAAGTGTTACAAGCTCTTTGTGCATAAAGAAGATCTGTAAAGTTGCAAAGACTAAAGTCTCAAATCCAAAGAAATATTCTTTATAAAAGTTAAGAGTCAACCACGCCTACTTCGTTGTGAAAGCGAAACTACTTTGTTTGGCCATCCAAATGAGGACACAACTAGAAATCAGTGGTTAAGTTGTATTTACAACACTGTTCCAGAGCAGTTATAATATACCCAAATATTCAGATGTGTCCAGCGCATTTTATGGAGGACTGATCCTGGTAGAGTAGACTACAATGCCGGCTGTTCTGACTCACAGACTGTAAGTACGTTTTTTATATTAAAGAATTTGCCACTGATGATTCAAATGCGAGAGTAGAGTGTAGAGTGGCACTTGTTGTTTGTCATTTCTCCGATCACAAATGCAGACATGGTTTTATGTTTACGCGGCGCGGTACGCAACGCGTAAAAAGACGGTATAAGTCATTATAATCCGTAATTATGTCCCCACTGGATGCAACAAATGCCTCGTTTATAATGGGTTTTATTGGTTTTGTCTCGTCGCGCCGGGACACGCTATCACAGTGTGGTAAGGGGCGTAACATTTCCGTCACACGCTTGAGGTATTCGGCCAATCACAATGCACTGGATAGCTGGCCAATCAGACCACACCTCGCTTTTCAGACCGATGAGCTTTGTAAAAATCGACGCGTTTCAGAAAGGCGGGGCATAGAGGAGAAACAATAATGTACAGTATGTGGAAAATAATGTGTTTTTTGAACCTTAAACCGCATAAACAAATTTCAATACACCAAATACACAAAATAATGTTCTTTTTAGCAACATCCTATGACCCCTTTAATAGCAGATTTTGATGACACCAGTTAAAGGAAGGGTCATTTAAACAGGATATTACTCTGTAACTTTCCTAGCTAAGCAGAAAAGCACATCAATGCATCAGACATGCACTGCAATCAAATGTAACCTTACATGCAACATCTTTACTCAGCAGATTTTAATCAGACACATTTCACGCAAAATGCCTTCAAAACAAGATAATAATCTCTGCCATAAACTTACAGAAACACATTTAGTAACAGACCGATGAATCTGCAGATATTTGATCATTATGGGATTATCTTCCTCATTCATTTCAGGCAACCATTTTCAAATATTTTTAGTAACTTTAACAATTTACTTGTAAAATAAGTGTTTATCTCAGCAAGTGTCAATTTTATTGATGAATATTTTATGCATATTATTAGTGGTCGACCGATATTGGTTTTTTGACAGCCAATGTCGATGCCGATATCTTGGAAAGCAGGGTGGGCGATGGCCGATATAAAACCGATATAATTGTATTTATTTTCATTAATATTTAAGAAATTTGAAATCATTTGAAAATGGATAAAAAAATTAATTTGTAAAATAAACACTTATACTTTAGATGACAAAGTATTTTGTACAAATAAATAAATATTTAATAAAAACATAATTAAAAAGGAAGTAAACTGTAACCAACAGAGCACTCAGTATTCTGGGAAGTTTGTGTGCATTGGGAATCATATTTTTTTCAAATAAAGCCAAGGTAACATACAGCACACAATGCATAAAGGTCAGCATAATTTGAAATCACGAATTTAATGTTTAAAGCATTCAATTTGCACTGACCGAAAGTCACGCAGAGAACACGCGATCATGCAGGTCACATGCACACTTCACAATATCTCACAACTGGATTCCACTAAGTCTGCAAGGTTTGTGAAATTAAATTTTCATTAGCCATTCACAGATTTGTTTAAATGATGTAAATGTGTATTTGCTGAATGCTAACGGCAAATGAGAAAGTATTATAATGTTTGCCTTTCTATTAGTATGGTTCAGTACTGGTTTTGTTAATAAAGCACTATTTTAGTTTTTGTTCAGTATCAATTTTAAAACAATCGGTTAATTAATCGGTATCGGCCAGTGTGGTCCAACCTAGCTATCGGTATCGGCAAAATCCACTATCGGTCAACCTCTACTTTCTATTATTAATAATATAAAAGCAATCGTTATAATACTTTTTGTATACATTTTAATTCCTTTGTTTAACAGCTCTATCTGAATATTAGACAGACTTCTATCCGTATTAGACAGAACAAGCGCAGCCGCTCTCAGCGCCGTCAAAATAAAAGTCCCGCCTCAAACGCATCGGCCAAACAGAAAAACTTATCGGCCGATGCCGATATTTGAAAAAATGCCAAATATCGGCCAATATATCGGCCTTGGCGATATATCGGTCGACCACTACATATTACATATACATCATTCAAAAGTCACAATCACTGATGCAGTTAAACAACTAAAAATAACTGGTTTGTCAAGTTATCCTTTAAATTGAACCTTAATAATCACACAAAAATACAATTATGGATTAAACTTTTATAAACAAAAACAAAAAGAGCACAGATACACAAATAAATAAAACCAGGTAGCTTGAGCCTGACAGCACCTTTCAACACATCTCACTTTCTCTTCCCTTCATTTACCTGGACGAGACGATGACAGCATCCTTCTCGCTCCATTTGAGCCCGGGAGCATGTTTCAGGAATCGCTTGGACAGCAGGAAGAGGCCTGGGAAGAATATGGAGCCAGCTGCAAGGATGCTCAGCATAATCTCGGGCAATGTTGCTCAACGTCACTGTGTGTCTAAAGAGGATAAATATAACAAACACATTTTAACGTGCATCTTAATAAGTCCATATATTTTTCATAAAAGGATGCATATTAAAAACAACAACCTTGCCATTCATGAAAACCCAATCTTAAAAAAAATGATTTAAGTATTTTAATTTGTAATAACATTGTTGCTTGATCATAAGCATTACGTTCATAACTTGAATCTCACCAAAAATCTGTTCACTGAAAAAAGAAGAGAGAAGGGCACGGCAAAGACAGAAGGATAAAACAAACGGGGAGAGTAAAGAAGGAAAATTAGACCACAAAATCCACATTAACACTCGACAAACAAGATATACGCCTTCTTAAATCAATGTGCATACAGTACATCAACTTAAAATACCACTCATCTCTCAAGCCAAGTTCAAATGATAGACTACAAGGTATGCATTGTGACAGCATGACACAGATAGATTCCCCACATATCTTCAGGAAGACAATTTCAACTGCATCCCTTCACTGATCTCATTATTGCTTCTTAAATTAATTGGGTTCTTAAATTATTACGGACAACTGCCATATTTATATTGAAGCAGAAGAAGCTGGGATGTTTGGGAGGAAGAGGGGGTCCGTACAAAAATAGGCACGGAAAGGATTAGCAAGCAAGAGATTTAGAAAGATTACTGCAGGGAGAGGGAGGGGAGCGAGACGAGGGGACACAGAGAAGAAAAAAGGGGGTGTGTGGGAGGGTGAAGGCCTTCATCCTGTGGTACAGTGAGGGTAACCTTGTGGGAGGAGGTGAAAGATTGTATTATTCCTGTTATATTGCTACAGTGGGACTTGTGAGTGCTTGTCTGCAGCAAGCCAATCACAAAAGCAGTGTAAAAAGACCATCCAAACCTGCAACAGACATCACAGCAAAACCAATGAGTGCATTACAGACATGACAGCCAATGTGCGTTAGTTATTCATTATTCTGAAGCTTGCACGAACGAATCTGTTAATGCAGCACGCAAATAATTCAAGAGATTGAGCAGCGACAAATTCTGGTACGAAAACACATCACAGACGCTCTCAGGATTCAAACGAACTCTAATCTCGCGCAAACGATATTATAAAACCCTCCGCCGTTCCTTACGTCATCTCGGTCACGCTCGGATTTTCTCCGTTCGTGTAAACAACAGCAAAGCAGCGCGAACGGCTCGCGCATTCACAACGCTACCTTTATTAGAGCTAGCAGGCTAGCGGCATCCATCCTATTGTGTCCTCCTCGCCAGCAGCGAGTCCAGCAGCAGCGCACGAGGCAGAGCGAGTCTCGGCGGGACCCCTAACTAAACAGGTTGCAGGCGATAGGCCCGCTGGCTGTGTGTGCTGACGACAGCCAGTAATGAATCGCTTTCCTCCCCACATGGTTGATGGAAAAAAACGACTGCAAAAACTGGGATGCGCCCCCAGAGACCCCAAACACAATATGATTATTGTACGCCATTGTTCAATCCTTGCCATGCAACTATTTTGCTGTAACCCGTTCAGACCAAGAGATAACAAAAATATGATAAAATTGAGCTATGTTACAATAAATTGCAGCAAAAAAAAACAAAAATATTTCTGATATCCATTACAATGGAAAGCCAAAACATCCAGAATATTATACATATTTTCTGTTAATAAAAAAAAAAACTTCATACATTTTATTAACAAATATTTAATATGCTATTGTTATACACCTACATATGGGACCCTGGACCACAAAACTAGTCATAAGGGTCAATTTTTTTAAATTAAGATTTATACATCATCTGAAAGCTGAATAAAAGCTTTGCATTGATGCATGATTTGTTACGATAGGACAATATTTGGCTGAGATACAACTATTTGAAAATCTGGAATCTGAGGGTGCAAAAAAAATCAAAATATTGAGAAAATCACCTTTAAAGTTGTCCAAATTAAGTTCTTAGCAATGCATATTACTAATATTTACGGTAGTAAATTTACAAAATATCTTCATGGAACATGATCTTTACTTAATATCCTAATGATTTTTGGCATAAAAAAATAGATAATTTTGACCCATACAATGTATTGTTGGCTATTGCTACAAATATACCCCAGTGACTTAAGACTGGTTTTGTGCTCCAGGGTCACATATGTATTATAGAAATAACAGTAAATTATGCATAATTACATGCAACTAATCTTAAACCAAACTCTAACCCTTTAGTAAGTGCATGTTGTTAATTAAGAAGTGCTTCATTGTATAATTACACTGTAACAAGGCTACCTTTAAATTAAGTGTAACCTAAAATCAAAAAATTTAATTTGTACAGATTTTGAATTTCATTGTTGGATGAACATTAATTTAAAACATAACTGTTCATACATATGGCAGCTTAAACAAAGAAACAAATAAATTATAGGCTACATACTTGGTCCAATAACAAGGGTTGCATCCCTCCTCGGGGTTCAAACCTGGAACCTTACAATGACCTGCTCATGCATTTTCTTTTACTAATATGCCACACCACCTACAATGTCATATCACCAAACATACACAAAGTTGAATGTCATTACATGAGCACTGGTCAGAATGTCTGTTGCTGTTACAGGCATATAATTCATTCTACAGCTTTGGTCAGGCATGGTCTAAAAATAATCATTTTGGTGCAGATAGCACAAATTTTGTAGGATGCATTACTGAAACCATATTAAGCAGTTTTGCAGTACTACACATAAAAACACCAGAGAAAGGCAATGTAAGTTAGAACATATAATTGGGTCTGAATGGGTTAAAGCAATCCTAAAGATGCTAGAGAAAAGCAGCAGGGGGACAGGGTCATATTGGACTAGAGCAAAAGGAGCAAAAAAAGGCAGAAGATTACATTAAGGTTGAGCAGCGTCAGTTACGGGGAAGGGCAATCCTGTCACAGTCTTCCAGAAATTGGATCACAAGGTCCTGGAGGCATCTGTGAGACGGTCCACATGATGTTGTTGATTTATCCTAAGCGCTTGATCCCAGAAAGCTGCACAGGTTTTGGATTGCCAGCCCCTAATGGGGAAAAAAATGTTACACATATATACATATATATATAAAACAACAAGAAAGATGTCCAAGGACGAACAATCGTAGTACTGCAAAGTTCGTCTGTCCACATCCAGCTGTCCAGGAAGCGAATGCATCCCTAACTTACATATAAAAGACCCGATCCGCGTCCGTCTGGTCTTCACAAAGCTCATTACTCAAGCTGAGTCAGCAGATCAAAAGCTGCAGTGGTCAGATATGGCCACACTTACACATTACCCTTGCAAATGACTTATTTAAATAAAAATGTAGGCTACCCGTGGCGGAGAGCGGATACCTGCACCAGATGGAAGAAGAGACAAGCAGGTATCCAGGCAACCACTCTGGTCCCCGGCTCTGCCTCTCTGACCACCTCGCTAGCTAGGATTAGACAAAACAAGTGGGGACTGGGGAAGGAAGGAAGGGTGGAATGGCTCACATTTGACTACAGAACATGTGCAAATCCTAAACCAAATGCCGCAAGTTATCTAAATAATGGGCAACCACTCTGGTCCCCGGCTCTGCCTCTCTGACCACCTCGCTAGCTAGGATTAGACAAAACAAGTGGGGACTGGGGAAGGCAGGAAGGGTGGAATGGCTCACATTTGACTACAGAACATGTGCAAATCCTAAACCAAATGCCGAAAGTTATCTAAATAATGGTGTTATTCTAATTCGCCTGTATGCAAAGTAGAGAAAGAGAGTCACGCTAGCTCTCAGGCTAGCGCTGTGCTAACATGACTCAGAGCCTCGCTGAGCGGATAAATACAGCTGTGGTCTCCATTGTCTTTTTACATAACCTTTAACTAATATCACCGGAGAAATTAGTAAATATATCACGGAAACGGGAAAAGGCCGGTTTAACTTACTGTTCATCGCTCTTGGTTCAGAAATCACGTCTTTTCGACTGACCCCCGTACTAAATGCGCTGACAAGAGATTAATTTTACTTTTAAATCTGCACCGCGAGTCTTAGTAACTAACTGCTGATTGGCCAAACGAGAAGGACGCGACAGATTTTCCCTTCATTGATTGGTTTAAGCTTTGATTGACAGTAAATTTGACCAATGGCGAGTAAAAACAAAGTGACCTGATAGTGAAAGACCGCATTAACTATTTATGGCCCGACGTCTTTTTGTCATCTTTTGTTTCAATAGTCCGTACTAAACATACAGAATTATGAATGTTCTGCTCAAATAATACGTATTGTTTGCCCAATACACGCAGGCAGAGAGTAAGTTTAGCATATGAGTTTAAAGTCACCATTAATTGAAAATCGACAGTTCTTGTTTTTTATGGAATGTTACAGTGTTTACATTCATATGCTCTCGTAATCTTTAATCAAAATAATTTAATAACTTAAGCAAATCCATCATACATAACTTTAGCTAAAAAGCCCTGACGTGACAGAATGTTGTTGTGCAACAAAAATCAGTGTCAGTGCATGTTTTACATAATAGCAGTTAATATATTGTGGTTTTTTAATATGCAATATTCTATTGTTAGGCATGACGGAGAAAGATGGATAATACGCTCTCACCAGCAATGTGCTCTCACCAGTTAAGTGTGCATGTGCCAAGTTTATTATTTTTTATAAATACCAGTGTGTGTGAATGGGAAATTTCACTTTATACATCGGACCCCTGGAGCCTAAAAATAAACTTGCCATAAAATATATTTAATGGAAGAGCTGCTTTTAGAAATCGTTCCTATGGCATTCTACGGAGGTAGCATGTTTTTATGACTGTGATGATTTCTTGGTTCAATGCTTGTGCTATACAAGATTGCACAAAGAAATGGGTCACTATGGGTTCCAATTTAAATTCAACTAGTTCACAATGATAACTGTCTTTGCACCATATGGCGACCATAGTGGTCAGCTTTCACTGTATGTTCCCTTGTGTTCATCTTACTTCTACTGTCTCGATAATCTGTATTATAAAATATACAGCTGTAGCTGTGATTAGATGTAATGTGATGTGATGATCCACTGAGTTTTACAGTGAAGATAGTCCACAAAATAAATCCTATGAGCAGAATCTTTGGTTTCCCAAATTGCATGTGGGGTGAGAATATAATTGGTGTTTGTTCAAAATACATTATCTGAAAATTATCTGGTCTCACGCAATTTTAGATAAATGTTTCTTTTTTTTAAAAGGTACATTTTTTTAGCTGTGTAATCTCATATAAGTGCAGGCAACTCCTGCAATCTGTTATTAATTAAAAAATAAGCTACTATTTTGCGTCTGCAAGGCAATATGCGTATGGAAATTTTATGCAGATAGTCATAAAAAAGGTATCCTAGGATCCATTTGTGGTTACTTTGGGGACTTGAGAACATGAAAATAAAGCTTGAGAATGTACTTACACTCAAACGAACCTTGTGCAGATTCTGACGTACATATGGTTTTACAAATTTGAACGATACACAAAGCCTTTCATACTTGAGGCCCTCGATGTAGATGTAACTACTTATATTTATAGTCATTAATAGATAATGTAAATATTGAGTACCTTTACTAAAATAGCCAAACTCAAGATTAGATTGTTTTAAGTAAACTTTTAAATTACATAACTTTAAAGTCATGATGAAACGGAAGTAGCGACAGTTCGGCAAAGTTTGCTTTCACTGGCAGGTCCAGATATGACATTTTGATTAAACATTACGAAATGAAAAAAAAAATAAAAACACATACACAGGTTTGTTTTTGTGAATTGTGGGGACTCTCCATAGGCGTAATGGTTTTTATAAGTCAAGTCAAGTCAAGTCACCTTTATTTATATAGCGCTTTTAACAATACAGATTGTGTCAAAGCAACTGAACAGCATTAATTAGGAAAATAGTGTCAATAATGCAACATGACAATAGTAAACACAAATTTTTCAGTTAAAGACAGTTCATCATTGAATTCAGTGATGTCAACATCCAGCTCAGTTTAAATAGTATCTTTGCAATCAAGTCAACGGTATCGCTGGAAATGAAGTGTCCCCAACTAAGCAAGCCAGAGGCGACAGCGGCAAGGAACCAAAACTCCATCGGTGACAGATTGGAGAAAAAACCTTGGGAGAAACCAGGCTCAGTCGGGGGGCCAGTTCTCCTCTGACCAGACGAACCAGCAGTACGGAAAAATCAATTTAAGACGTAATAAAACAGACGATGAAGACTATTAACAGCAATTATTATATGATGCAATCAAACTTATAGCAAAATGTGGTAGTTCTGTATGTTGTTTCAGGGTTGGCATCATCTGAGGTCCTCTGAGGGGTTGGCATCATCTCTTCTCAGGTGTTCTGGATCCAGACTGAAGCTTGTGTAAATCCTAGTTACCACGGTAACCTAGTTTTATACTGTACAAACTGTATTTTCTATTGCCCTACACCAACCCTACACCTAAACCTACCCCTTACAGGAAACTTTCTGCATTTTTAGATTTTCAAAATAAAACACATTCTGAATGATTTATAAGCCTTTTGAAATACGGGGACACTCAAAATGTCCTCATAAATCACCTTCTCGTCTCAAACCAATAAGACGCAGAGGCAAGGTTTCCAGTGTCTGTCTCTTTAATGTCTATTTTACCCTAATCCACGTCTCTTTTTTTTTTTTTATTAAAAACTTCAAGTATTTGTTGGGAACACAAAAAGTCCAAAAAAATGTTTGTTTCTTCTAAAATGCAAAGACAAAAAGAAGAAGAAGAAGAAGACAACAGATAACAAGAAAGTAATAACCATCTTAAAACAACTGTTCAATCATTTTATCAAAGCCATAATAGTCATTAACACGAATATCAAGTTATGAATTTCTTAAAAATGTCTAACATCTATCTTACGCCTAAAAGAAATTCACCATTTTCTTAAAATGTTCACTTTCTGCTTGGCAGTCGGTAAGACTGAACCAACCCACTGATCTTCATTCCCGTCACTATTTTGCTAGTTTTTCTACCAACACAATAGCAAAAGTGGTCATAAAAACATCAACTTAAGAAACAAAAACTTTAAACCAAAAGCAAAAAAAAAAAAAAAATGCCACCTGGTGGTAGGAGGCAAACGCTTACAGTACTGGGCATTTTTGAGTATTCAGCTCTGCAATAAACCCAGAGAACACCGCCAACTGCCTGGACCCACGTCTACAGTGTCTACAAGTCTAGTCCATATCGTATAATATGAAACCTGAGCTCTAGACGTGTTACTTTTACAAATGAGTCGGGGAGGTTTTGGAGGTATTACACAAACAGCAGCATTTCCCCAACAGCTATCTAATAATTAACCATAAGCCACCGTCTCGACAATCTGCTCTGAAGGAAAAAGAAAAGCAGATGGATTCAGAGAGAGACTGCGGCCCAGTGGAGGAGCTCCACACACACACACACTTGACGTCATTCGACTGCATTACAGTACATTTTTGATAAACGATTGGGTTCAGTCTATATACACCAGCCCAGTTAAATGAGGGCCGGTTGAGGTAATGAAATATTCAAAATAATAAAATAAAATAAAAATTTACGACACTGCACATTCCCTAAACTTTCCGAACCTGCACAGTTTTTCAAAAATACTCATGGACCAGATGGCTCGCTCATGCCGCCATGAAACCCACACACCTGGTCCGCCAAACACAAACAACAAGCTGGACAAGACGACAATAAATTAAAAAGAGAAAATAAATAATATTCAATCTATCTTCTCTGCCTACATAATCTCGCCCAATCAGAGAGCAGGATACTGATATCGATCTCGTTTGGTCCTAGGAGGGGGGCGGGACCTTTGGGAAGATGCTTCAGGTGGGGACGGCACAGTACCTACGTTCCACAGATAAAGACGTGCGCATGTCTGTCATCACGAGATGCCGCCATCTCTAAATCTCGAATGCATTTGCTCAGGGATCATTTGCACAGGGTGCTTCATAAGAAATGTTGAGAGGTTCCCCCCCAAAAAAGAAGTAGAAAATCTGAGTGATATCAAACAGAAAGCATTCAGCTGAATGAGGAAGCAGTAACAAAATAAGAAGACTTAAGAACTTTTGGTTACCAGAATTTTCAGAATAAAACCTAAGAACCCGCAAAAGGAACACAGTGATAAAAGTTTGGAGATACAGTGGCAGATTGAAGATGGCCGCGGGGGCGATGCTATGGACTCGTGGGCACTGTCATCTCATCTGTTAGTGAAATCATGGTCAGCGCAGTCTCGTCATTTGCATTATTCCAGATATCTGTATTGCACAACATTGACGTTGGCTCATTTAGTCATATTCAACAATCCATTTTCTTTTCTTTTTTTTTATTTCTGTGGAAAATTATATTTCCCGTAATCCTCAAGCACACAGTCAGTATAAAAGTGTTCTCAGCAGCATCAAAAGCATTATTCATCAGTGTCGTTTAAGTGGATCTGTTTTTCTGAGAAATCCCCATGTCGAATTGGAATGAGTGCTGAGAGTTCATTCAAAAGCATGTGATCCATATCTTCATCTCCAAAGCATGCTTGCTCCTATGATCCACATTTCCCAGAATCCACCTCATCTCTCTTCTTTCCTTGATACTTTTGAGGAATGCCAGGCTGTGGATCTGATATAAAGAAATAAATGGTTTTACAGGATTGCATAAAAATGGATGTTTTTATGCCAACATGGATTGTTGAATAAAGTCGTTATTTTGGTTTTCTTTTTGCACAAAAAGTAATCTCGTAGCCTCAAAAAATTAACATTGAACAAATGATGTCCCATGGACTATTTTAACAATGTCCTTACTACATTTCTGGGCCTTAACTCCTAATGCACTGCAATTGCAAATCCAAGTGAAGTCCATACACACAAGCATTGAGAGACATTATTGATGAGCAACAACTGCCTTGATACATCCAAACGTGCCCTGCACTTTTGTTGCCACCTGGTGGTAGGAGGCAGATGTTTACAGCACTGGGCATTTTTGAGTATTCAGCTCTGCAATAAACCCAGAGAACACCGCCAACTGCCTGGACCCACGTCTACAGTGTCTACAAGTCTAGTCCATATCGTATAATATGAAACCTGAGCTCTAGACGTGTTACTTTTACAAATGAGTCGGGGAGGTTTTAGAGGTATTACACAAACAGCAGCATTTCCCCAACAACTATCTAAAATTAACCATAAGCCACTGTCCCAACAATCTGCTCTGAAGCAAAAAAAGAAAAGCAGACGGATTCAGGGATAGACTGCGGGCCCAGTGGAGGAGCTCCACACACACACACACACTTGATGTCATTCGACTACATTACAGTACATTTCTGATAAACGATTGGGTTCAGTCTACATACACCTGCCCAGTAAACTGAGGGCCGGTTGAGGTAATGAAATATTGAAAAAAGTACAACACTGCACATTCCCTAAACTCTCCGAAACACACAGTTTTTCAAAAACGGACCAGACGGCTCGCTCATGCCACCATGAAACCCACGCAACTGGTCCGCCAAACACAAACACCAAACAAGTTGGACAAGACAACAATAAATTAAAAACAGAAAATAAATAATATTCAATCTACCTTCTCTGCCTACAGAGCCTCACCCAATCAGAGAGCAGGATATTGATAGCAATCTCGTTTGGTCCTAGGAGGGGGGTGGGACCTTTGGGAAGATGCTTCAGGTGGGAATGGAACAGTATACGTTCCACAGATAAACAAGTACGTACATCTGTCGGCACAAAACACCATCACCTCTATACAGCGTTCTGATACAACTCTAAAACTCTAATATATTTGCTCAAGGATGACGTTTGCACAGGATGCTTCATAATGTTGATAGGTTACAAAAGAAACTGCACAATAACCCTCCCCCCCAAAAAAAAACAAAAACAAAACAATAACAGTAAAGAAAAAAATTAATAGAAAATCTGAGTGATATCGAACAGAAAACATTCAATTGAATGAGGAAGCAGTAACAAAGAAAGAAGACTTAAGAACTTTTGGTTATCAGAAGTTTAAGAATAAAACCTAAGAACCCGCAAAAAGAACACAGTGATAAAAGTCTATGGACAGAGTTTGGAGATACTCTCTGAGTAAAGATGGCTGCACGGGCGATGCCATGGACTTGTGGGCACTGTCATCTCATCCGTTAGTGAAATCATGGTCAGCGCAGTCTCGTCATTTGCATTATTCCAGATATCTGTATTGCACAACATTGACGTTGGCTCATTTAGTCATATTCAACAATCCATTTTCTTTTCTTTTTTTTTATTTCTGTGGAAAATTATATTTCCCGTAATCCTCAAGCACACAGTCAGTATAAAAGTGTTCTCAGCAGCATCAAAAGCATTATTCATCAGTGTCGTTTAAGTGGATCTGTTTTTCTGAGAAATCCCCATGTCGAATTGGAATGAGTGCTGAGAGTTCATTCAAAAGCATGTGATCCATATCTTCATCTCCAAAGCATGCTTGCTCCTATGATCCACATTTCCCAGAATCCACCTCATCTCTCTTCTTTCCTTGATACTTTTGAGGAATGCCAGGCTGTGGATCTGATATAAAGAAATAAATGGTTTTACAGGATTGCATAAAAATGGATGTTTTTATGCCAACATGGATTGTTGAATAAAGTCGTTATTTTGGTTTTCTTTTTGCACAAAAAGTAATCTCGTAGCCTCAAAAAATTAACATTGAACAAATGATGTCCCATGGACTATTTTAACAATGTCCTTACTACATTTCTGGGCCTTGACCGTAGTAGTTACATTGCAGTCTATGGAGGGTCAGAAAGCTCTCGGATGTCATCAAAAATATCTTAATTCGTGTTCTGAAGATTAATGAAGGTCTTACGGGTTTGGAAGGACATGAGGGTAATTATTAACAGAATTTTCATTTTTGGGTGAACCATCTCTTTAATAATTATACAAAAAAAATTGTTTTTATAGAGACCACACTGTAACATCACAACAACAACAACAATAATAAAAAAAAATAATTGGTAAGCTGTATATTATGGCTTTTTTCCACTGCATGGTACGATAAAATAAATGGGAATTTTCTGAAATTTGAGCAATTTGTTACTGCTTTGTACAAGTTGTTATATTAATTATAATTCAAATGCATTTTGTTTTTTTTTAGCAAAATTGTATTGTTGATCATTGTTGAGAGGGGCCCCTTTTGATTCATTCTAAAAAAGGGCAGGGGCTTAATTTTGAGTGCATATACTGGAAAAAGAGACGAGTTGTCAAAAAACACTTGTTCTTATACTCACCTAATGAAGGTTTTGAAGGCTGCACTCTGGGGATTGATGCACAAAGGCACTCGCTTGCCTTGCTGGTGCTCTGTTATAAAACGATGGATGAGCTCTGAGACGAAGAGAGAAAACAGGTCATCAAAATAGGTCCTTCATGTCAAAAGATGATGGAGATTTAATCGTAACAAAGCGCCAGAGTGAGTCACCTTTGCCCTGCCAGACGGAGTGCATGCTCTGCTCATAGTTGTGGCTGAAAGGTCGATCCGCAGGCGGCTCAAAGTCTCGGGTGTACACCCTCCCGCTGGGCACAGAGTAACAGCACTTACACATGCAGGTGTGGTACCGCAGACGACCCTCATCCAAATATGGATGAGACAGAGCATCACTGCCCGAGATGCGCTTAGCCTATAGATGGAGACACACACACAGTTTTCATTTTCACTCCAAAATAATAATAATAATACCAAAAAAAAAAATAAAAACACTGTTCAAAAGTATGAGGTCAAGTGTTTTGTTCTTACTTTGAACAAGGACGCATTAAAGTGACCAAAAGGAACAGTAAAGCCACTTAAATTGTTACAACAGATTTTGAACATATTAAAGGAATACTGAAAAATGTATCACAGTTTCCACAAAAAATATTCAGCAGTCCAACTATTTTCAACAGTGATGAGACAATAATTAGTTCAACAGCAAATCAGCATATTAGACTGATTTCTGAAGGATCATGCGACATTGAAGACAGGCGCAATGATGCAAAAAATTCAGCTTTACTATCACAGGAATAAATTACATTTTAAAAACCATGCATTCTAAATTGTAATAGTATCAACAATGACATCAATGATGATTCACTATATTCTCATTACTCATACAAAACCATATTAAAAGGCACAATATGTAAGATTTTCGTAATAAAATATCCAAAAACTACTCGCACAGTGTGATATATTTCATGCAGTTGTGTATTTATGTTATCCCAAAAATTCCCAAGGATTTGTAAATCCAGAGAAATTCTGTCTACAAGTCTAGTCCATATCGTATAATATGAAACCTGAGCTCTAGACGTGTTACTTTTACAAATGAGTCGGGGAGGTTTTAGAGGTATTACACAAACAGCAGCATTTCCCCAACAACTATCTAAAATTAACCATAAGCCACTGTCCCAACAATCTGCTCTGAAGCAAAAAAAGAAAAGCAGACGGATTCAGGGATAGACTGCGGGCCCAGTGGAGGAGCTCCACACACACACACACACTTGATGTCATTCGACTACATTACAGTACATTTCTGATAAACGATTGGGTTCAGTCTACATACACCTGCCCAGTAAACTGAGGGCCGGTTGAGGTAATGAAATATTGAAAAAAGTACAACACTGCACATTCCCTAAACTCTCCGAAACACACAGTTTTTCAAAAACGGACCAGACGGCTCGCTCATGCCACCATGAAACCCACGCAACTGGTCCGCCAAACACAAACACCAAACAAGTTGGACAAGACAACAATAAATTAAAAACAGAAAATAAATAATATTCAATCTACCTTCTCTGCCTACAGAGCCTCACCCAATCAGAGAGCAGGATATTGATAGCAATCTCGTTTGGTCCTAGGAGGGGGGTGGGACCTTTGGGAAGATGCTTCAGGTGGGAATGGAACAGTATACGTTCCACAGATAAACAAGTACGTACATCTGTCGGCACAAAACACCATCACCTCTATACAGCGTTCTGATACAACTCTAAAACTCTAATATATTTGCTCAAGGATGACGTTTGCACAGGATGCTTCATAATGTTGATAGGTTACAAAAGAAACTGCACAATAACCCTCCCCCCCAAAAAAAAACAAAAACAAAACAATAACAGTAAAGAAAAAAATTAATAGAAAATCTGAGTGATATCGAACAGAAAACATTCAATTGAATGAGGAAGCAGTAACAAAGAAAGAAGACTTAAGAACTTTTGGTTATCAGAAGTTTAAGAATAAAACCTAAGAACCCGCAAAAAGAACACAGTGATAAAAGTCTATGGACAGAGTTTGGAGATACTCTCTGAGTAAAGATGGCTGCACGGGCGATGCCATGGACTTGTGGGCACTGTCATCTCATCCGTTAGTGAAATCATGGTCAGCGCAGTCTCGTCATTTGCATTATTCCAGATATCTGTATTGCACAACATTGACGTTGGCTCATTTAGTCATATTCAACAATCCATTTTCTTTTCTTTTTTTTTATTTCTGTGGAAAATTATATTTCCCGTAATCCTCAAGCACACAGTCAGTATAAAAGTGTTCTCAGCAGCATCAAAAGCATTATTCATCAGTGTCGTTTAAGTGGATCTGTTTTTCTGAGAAATCCCCATGTCGAATTGGAATGAGTGCTGAGAGTTCATTCAAAAGCATGTGATCCATATCTTCATCTCCAAAGCATGCTTGCTCCTATGATCCACATTTCCCAGAATCCACCTCATCTCTCTTCTTTCCTTGATACTTTTGAGGAATGCCAGGCTGTGGATCTGATATAAAGAAATAAATGGTTTTACAGGATTGCATAAAAATGGATGTTTTTATGCCAACATGGATTGTTGAATAAAGTCGTTATTTTGGTTTTCTTTTTGCACAAAAAGTAATCTCGTAGCCTCAAAAAATTAACATTGAACAAATGATGTCCCATGGACTATTTTAACAATGTCCTTACTACATTTCTGGGCCTTGACCGTAGTAGTTACATTGCAGTCTATGGAGGGTCAGAAAGCTCTCGGATGTCATCAAAAATATCTTAATTCGTGTTCTGAAGATTAATGAAGGTCTTACGGGTTTGGAAGGACATGAGGGTAATTATTAACAGAATTTTCATTTTTGGGTGAACCATCTCTTTAATAATTATACAAAAAAAATTGTTTTTATAGAGACCACACTGTAACATCACAACAACAACAACAATAATAAAAAAAAATAATTGGTAAGCTGTATATTATGGCTTTTTTCCACTGCATGGTACGATAAAATAAATGGGAATTTTCTGAAATTTGAGCAATTTGTTACTGCTTTGTACAAGTTGTTATATTAATTATAATTCAAATGCATTTTGTTTTTTTTTAGCAAAATTGTATTGTTGATCATTGTTGAGAGGGGCCCCTTTTGATTCATTCTAAAAAAGGGCAGGGGCTTAATTTTGAGTGCATATACTGGAAAAAGAGACGAGTTGTCAAAAAACACTTGTTCTTATACTCACCTAATGAAGGTTTTGAAGGCTGCACTCTGGGGATTGATGCACAAAGGCACTCGCTTGCCTTGCTGGTGCTCTGTTATAAAACGATGGATGAGCTCTGAGACGAAGAGAGAAAACAGGTCATCAAAATAGGTCCTTCATGTCAAAAGATGATGGAGATTTAATCGTAACAAAGCGCCAGAGTGAGTCACCTTTGCCCTGCCAGACGGAGTGCATGCTCTGCTCATAGTTGTGGCTGAAAGGTCGATCCGCAGGCGGCTCAAAGTCTCGGGTGTACACCCTCCCGCTGGGCACAGAGTAACAGCACTTACACATGCAGGTGTGGTACCGCAGACGACCCTCATCCAAATATGGATGAGACAGAGCATCACTGCCCGAGATGCGCTTAGCCTATAGATGGAGACACACACACAGTTTTCATTTTCACTCCAAAATAATAATAATAATACCAAAAAAAAAAATAAAAACACTGTTCAAAAGTATGAGGTCAAGTGTTTTGTTCTTACTTTGAACAAGGACGCATTAAAGTGACCAAAAGGAACAGTAAAGCCACTTAAATTGTTACAACAGATTTTGAACATATTAAAGGAATACTGAAAAATGTATCACAGTTTCCACAAAAAATATTCAGCAGTCCAACTAGTGATGAGACTGATGAGACAATAATTAGTTCAACAGCAAATCAGCATATTAGACTGATTTCTGAAGGATCATGCGACATTGAAGACAGGCGCAATGATGCAAAAAATTCAGCTTTACTATCACAGGAATAAATTACATTTTAAAAACCATGCATTCTAAATTGTAATAGTATCAACAATGACATCAATGATGATTCACTATATTCTCATTACTCATACAAAACCATATTAAAAGGCACAATATGTAAGATTTTCGTAATAAAATATCCAAAAACTACTCGCACAGTGTGATATATTTCATGCAGTTGTGTATTTATGTTATCCCAAAAATTCCCAAGGATTTGTAAATCCAGAGAAATTCCCATTTTAAATAATGGCTCGTCGCCTATCAATGATGTAATATCAACATATCCTCAGTTTCCGCTTGTAGAAACGGTGGTGCCTGCGTCCCAATGTGCATACTATCCATCCTAAATTCTATGTGATATTAGTCATTTTCAATACTATTTAGGGTAGATAGTATGCACATTGGGACGCAGGGTATGGCAACACACGGACACAGATGCTGCTGTACAGATAAACTAAATCCATTACGGATGTCGCGAATAAATCGAAAATGAAATGAAAAGTGTTGACCGCAGCATTAAATTGAGATCTGCTCAATGTTGCACCATGATTTTTATATGCGTTTTTACAGTGTTGCGCATTATAACCAATCACACACGAGTCCGTTGAGCTTATGAATGTAATGGCCAAACTCAGATGAGTTTTTTGTCCACTGCACGCACTCGCTGACAGCTGACAGCTCTCGCGTGAATTCTCTCATAAACCACTAAGTGCAGATGTACGTATGACATAAGAGATTCATTCATCAAACCGTGTATAGACAGCTTTACTGATTATAACTGGAATTTTCTGAGAGTGCTTAAACTCGCGCTAGACTTAAGTCAGTCATATGTTCTTTAACAATGTAAATGTTCTTTGCTCGCATTCTCTGTATAATTTATTCGCTGTTTGAATAACTGTGGAAGAAAAAATTAATAAAAAAAATGAATTAATTACCTCATCCGTGAAAATCGGCCTTCAAAGCTTCATCAAGCTTCGCCTGTTATTGTTTTGAAAATACGACCTCTAGTGGCGAAAACTTACATATTGTGCCTTTAACGCATCTAAGTAGGAGTTACAAACCAAACAGGAAGCATTACATATATGTGACCCTGGACCACAAAACCAGTCATATGGGTCAATTTTTTTAAATTGAGATTTATACATCATCTGAAAGCTGAACAAATAAGCTTTCCATTGATGTATGGTTTGTTAGGATAGGAGGGTGAGGGTGCAAAAAAATCAAAATATTGAGAAAATCGCCTTTAAAGTTGTCCAAATGAAGTTCTTAGCAATGCATATTACTAATCAAAAATTACGTTTTAATATATTTACAGCAGGAAATTTACAAAATATTTTCATGGAAGATGAACTTTACTTAATATACTAATGATTTTTGGCATATAGAAAAATCAATAATTTTGACCCCTACAATGTATTTTTGGCTATTGCTACAAATATATCCGTGCTACTTATGACTGGTTTTGAGCTCCAGGGTCACATATTTATTTTAACAATGTGCTTTATATGTAAATGTTATAAAAATACAACTACAGAAGCGTGTATACAGCCTCAAAATAACTATTATTTTAAGTATAGGCCATAAATAAATCACACAAAAACATTAGCCAAAATGCAGACAGTTATTGTGATCTAGAAAAGTCATACTCACTGGATCAAAAACTAGCATGCGGCACAAAAGATGAACAGCTTCATGTGTTGCTCCATCTGACAACATGTACAGAACAGACAGCGAGGGCTAAGAGACAGAAAGCACAAATGAAAGTTAGAATATTGTATTTGATTTGAGGACAGATTTGTGCATGACATCTTTTTGGACTAATAAATCATTGTAAAGGAAGGTACTGAACTGGTTTGTGGGGTCCTCTAAGAATGTGCACTCGTGCTCCTTCACACGCGGATGCCATGGCAGGAAGAGGAGGAGTCCCGAGGAGATCAGTGATCAGATCCAACTGAGAGAAAAAGAGAGGAGGAGAAACTCTTTAATTCAGTATTTTTCAAAATCTCATTTATTAAAAGGACCTAATTTTCAGCAAGATTAGAGTGCAGGGATTGAAATTAACTTTTTTACTCACCAGCCAATTTGGCTACAAAATTTTTAAGTTACCGGCCATTCATAACTTCTACCAGCCAAAAAAACCCCGAAATAAACCAACAGCTTGAGGCTGTCTACATGACAAAGCGACTGTTGCAAATCATTTTGTGTCGGTACTAAGGGTGTGCGATATTGACAAAAAATTATATCTCAATATTTTCTGGGATTTTATCGATAAAGATAATTAGACGATATTTTGCTGAGTGTGTTATTGTGCTGATATCTTAAGGACTCCTAAAGTTTTCATATTCTGTGTGGTCAGTTCACAGCAGTGATAGAAATTAAGTGATATTTATATTATTTTAAAAATTAAAAGATACTTTAAATGTGAAATTAAATCCGCCAGTAAGTGGCAGCAAGTCACTGTTAAGTGAGTCATTGCGAATGAACCGAATCATTTACACGGTTGATTTTGCTCAGAGACGCAAAACAGCGCTGTGTTTGTAATGTTTTCTGTTGGCGAAATAATGCAAAAACAACCAATATGGTGTCTAAAACGAAAGTCTCTTGATATTAACTTATTGTTTATTGAACTGTTGTATAAAATCAGTATCACACTTGTAACCATGCTGATTTTTTTTTTAAACGGCACTCTTCGTGTGATATTAACTATATGAATTGATATAAATATATACATTTTCCAACCCCCTTATCTTGAATTATGTGATCATTCGTAATGCATATTAACAGACTGAATCATGCAATGAAAGAATGCACTCTAAATGCGCACAGCACAAAGTTAGTCTAACCAGACTACATCACGTCGCGTATGCGTGCACTTTGTAACTTAGGTGTGTTTTGTTTGGTTTTTGCAATATACTCGATAATGTCATGATGTCTCACAAGTTCAGTATTTGCGCTAAACCTGCGCAGATTTGGC